GACGCTTGGAATTAATGTATAAAGGAAATGTGAGTGTTGCATGTGATGTGAGTAGATGAGTGTGTGAGAGTGTTTGGTAGGAGGAGTGGTTTACATATATAAATGGAATGGAGTGTTGCGTGTGAGTAAATGAGTGTGTGAGAGTGTTTGGTAGAAGGAACGGTGGAAATGCTTGCTGCTGTATCCATTAGCGGCTCAGCATGATAATTTGTAATTTTGTATATAGCTAAATATCCTCCCTTACCCACTTGACAATGTTGCTCCCATCATATTTTCTTTGTTTTAAAAAATTTTCAAAACACTCTAAAATTCTTCCGGCCGAATTCAGTTGCGGACTTGCGGTAGTCTTCAAAGACGACCGCGATCGCTGGCCGGCCGCACCTCTGGTCGGTCGACTTTGACTGGTACTGGTGCACGTACTGGACCGGAGTGTTCATCAGCTAAGGAATCGGGCAATGGATCACGTCAAAGTGCAGTGGAGCCGCCACGGCGAGGCCGAGGCGACTTGGAAATGTGAGGTCGATATTCTTGAAGAAACCATTTTTTTAGTTACGACCAATTATATGATGTTGCTTCACGTGTGACTAATAGGAATAGGTTGGAACTATTAGTTTGTGAACGATGAGTTACCCAATAGCCAAACTAATAATGTTGTGTACAAAGAGATTTTTAATAATGCATGACTTACTACCCATGAAAAAATTATGATTACTTTACAAATGTGTAACGTATTATAATTTACTGAGTAATAGCCTCCAATTTATTAAATTTTCTAAAATAAGTACATCCGTGCATGACACGTGTTACATACTAGTTAACCGAATTAAAAAAATTAGAGAATTAATCTCATTTAGGTGTAACCATAATAAATCCTTAATAATAATTTTGAAAATATAATCAATTATTAAACAACATCTATACTTATATTAAAAGCCAACCTATTTACCAAAAATAGTAGCAAGAAAAGTCAACTCACATTTAATCATACTTTATTTGGAAATTTTTTATGATATGCATTAATTACTTGATATATACATTTCCTATTCAAATATGATCAAAAACATTTTTTCCTTAAATAATTTTATTAACTTCTGCAATGATTTTACTGATATATATTATAATTCATATTTGTCGATAGTATTTTTTAATTTTTATTTGAGTATATAAGAAACAAATATTTTTTTAAATTAATATTTTATTTATCATTTAAGAGATAATGATACATCATTAAATAATTTTACTGATGACTAGATAATAAATTAAAATACAGTAATTATTCTTTAAAATTTTGGCATGTTATTTATTTGTATATCTATACTTATTATATAAGGTATCTTATTTAACAAATTTAGTAGATTGAAAAGACAACGTAATTAATGCATTGTTATTTCTATCCAAAATTTTATTTAATTATTTTATTTATTTGTCTTATATCCCATAAAATCAGTTTAAGAAAAAAAAACCCATAACATCTAACAAGCTAAAAAAAAAGACATAAAATCTTTACTAAAATAAAAAGACTTTATTTATTTGTCTTATTCCATATTAACATCAATTTTGTCAAAACAAATCCCATAAAATCAGTGAAGTCAAAATTTGTACGTAAAGTCTATCTATACTAAAAAAAATCAGATTCAAAATTCTTTATTTAATTTTTTTTCTTATGTAATTCCTTTTTATTATCTAATTGTATGAAAATTTGTTATGATTTTGTTCAATCCTCTAATTGTATTTGTATTATATTCCATAAATCGGTTTAACAAAAAAATCCCACAACATTCGATAAGTAAAAAAATAAAGTACGTAAAATATTTACTAAAATAAAAAAGGCTTTATTTATTATCTAATTGTATGAAAATCTGTTCTGATTTTATGGTACGTACTACAAATTGCGCACCCGTGTTCAGGAGCTACTTAACGGGCAAGCTCTGTGGAAATGACTCATTTAGTGTTTCTGTCCCGTGCATACGGTATGTATTTTTGTTACACATACTAAAAAATTATGCACCCCGTGCATCACACGAGCTCTGTACTAATAAATGAACTTAAAATTGTGCACCCCGTGCATCATCCTTATTCACATTTTGGTCTATTACAGGTCAAGTACTATATATATCCCATACATTTTTTCTATTCATTTGTATAATTATAAGACTGGATAAATGGCCTTAAAATTGTGCACCCCGCGCATCGCACGGGCTCTGTACTAGTATAAGTTTATAGAATTTGTAATTACGATAAATGAATATAGGATTAGCGAACGACACTTCGTGCAATGAAACGACACTTCACCCAGCACATTGTGTTCAATGCCACCAGCAGAGCAATTTATATATTTATTAATATAAAAATAATAACTGGATAAAAAATAACAAAAAAGGAGGATACTGGACCAACATAAAAGCACGTATTCCGTGAATACGTTTTTCACATTTTTTTTTATAAAGGAAAACATATTCCGTGAATACGTTTTACAATTAAAATGTGCAGAAAACGTATTCACGAAATACGTGCTTTTCATTTATTTCCACCCACTTTTTTTTTTTTTTGTCCACTACTTTTTTTTCCGGTAAAAAATTCGCCACGAGTAGCCATTTTCAGTCCTCTTTTTTTAAACCATCTTCAACCTGCAGCAGGCTGGACCCAACACACTACAGCCACACGAAAAACAGCCCAACAGACTGAATTCATTGCTCTAGGAACTCATCACACACCATTAGGGCTGAGCATGAGACTCGGAGAATTTCGAACCGTTCCGAAAATCGAACCGAACTCACTCCGAACCGAAAATAACTATTGACCATTTGACTTTCCCCGAACCAAACCGAACTGAAAAAATAATTGTTGCGGTTCTGGAGATTTTACAAATATTCGAAATGAGAACTAAACTGAACCGTCCCATACCGTACCGAACCGAAGAATCGAAATTAAAAACAAAATTGTAACATTAAATGTGTGTTATTATTTTTTTTTGGTACAGGGACCTTCCGGTTTCCGGATCTACAGGGGAACCGACTAATCCGGAATCGAGTCGGGTAGGACCACAAGGGCAGCAAAGCTCTCCCTCAAGAGTTTTAACACTGCTGCATTCTCAGGGCTCGAACACGAGACCACTGGTTAAGCTTGAAGAGACCCAAGCCATCTCATCCAAGCGCTCTTGGTATATTTATATCTATTCTAAAACCAATGATTTGGAAGTTATTAGGATATATATTTATTAAATTGATAACTTAAATGAAATATTATTAATGTCAACAATTAATATTGGTAAAAGGGGATTTAAGGAAGCATAACAGTGTATGAACTGCAACCGAGACAAGGAATGCAAATATCCAGCAGGAGGCCCAATGATTTGCGTAAGCTTGAATTTCAACTAATATCATAAATAGATTGGGCCGTTATACTATAAGTCCACTTTCTAGTTTCTCAAGTTGGCCCATCATCATATCCATGATAATTTATTACTAGTTTCTTTCATATTATTGCTTGCCATGTCTTTTTTTTTTTTCCTTTTTTTAAACTTAAGGGGTCAAACTGGTTCCCCAATTTCCCCCCGGGTGACTCGAACTCGGGACATGGTACACGCCGAGCGAAGGTACGCGCAATGATCAAATTTATACCAATAATTATCTGCTGTAAATGTTATAAGACCCATTTTTATTTAAGCAATAAGTGCAGTAGATGATGGTGCATTTAGTTATAGGGCCATCTCAGCCTAACATGAGTGATAAAATTAAATTGGATAATTTTGACTGTGCATAATCTTTGTTGCTTTAGGGTCAAAAAGGTCTTACCCTAGCTTAGGACCACTTTTTAAAAGCTTGAGTATGAGAGTATGGAGAATTTAATCATGCCTTCAAAATATTTTTCACAATAAATACATTTTGAATATAATGAGACTATTTTCACAAAATGGTCCAAGTTGAAAATAAAAAATAAAAAAATAAAATTATGAATTTAGAAAAACCTATTTCTATGGTAATTGTGTA